GCCTTACCGGCCGCCGCGATGCCGTTACTCCTGCCGGACCCCGTCTTCCTAGCGCGGGGTTTGCCGCAGCGAGCTGAGCCGAGCCGGGCCCCTCGGGTGTGCTCCGTCACAGGGGGGACTGCCGTTAGGCCCCGATTACCCCTGCACCACGCGCGTGGGGGTGCCCACGCGAGCCTTAAGTGGGTTTGGGTGCTGAGCGTGGTAGAGCTGCCCGAGTTACGCCGTGCTTAATGCTGTTACGTTTGACTTCGTGTAACCCAAACCCTGTTGGTTTTTTGTTTTAGTTCCTCTGCGTGCTGAAAAAAACCTACCTTTCTGACAGCATGGTGGTTTATAAAGGTAATCGCCATCTTAGATAATCTGTGGGGATGACTACCAAATGAGAGGCTATCTTTCAGATTTCAGCGAACTAGGTAAGCAAGCGCGGATGTACTGGACTGTGTCAGAGCAGGACCTTCCACTTACGGTGGGGTTTATCTTCCACCACTGCACGATGAAAGCTCAGAAATCGTGGAGCTGACCGGCAAATGCAGCCTGTATATACCTTCCTGCTAGTGTCCCGCTGCCCTGCCGTTCAGCCTTACTCAACAGCTCTCTGGAGCTGAGGGCTAGTTTCAGCTCCATCATCAACTTTCAGGTCAGTTAGCTTCATATTTGTACATTGACCTTCGGTAGCAGGAGTCAGAGTAAGTTTAACATTAGCAAGCAATTTTTCCAGCTTCTCACAACAGGCACTGTTTTTTGAGGTCTTATCACCAGGTCTAATACCCGCATTTTGCACAAAATTCCTCAAATCTTGATTGTAGAATACTACAATTCTAGTAGGAGCGCAAGATGAAAATTTGATGCTCTTTGGTTTTGTTGAGGGAAGATGAGTAGTGTTTGTCAGTATGCCACGGTTCAGCTCAACATAAGGATAACTAAGCCAATTTTCACTAACGTTAAGAAATTTAGCACAAGGGATAAAGTTATTTGGTATGTTCTTCTAAGGCTGAATCAGTAGCTGGGAGAAAATCTCTTTATTAGCGTTGAGGAGCATGAATTCTGCCATAGAGCTATGGTGCATGATACATACTGGCCAGGAAACCAATGTAATCACGTTATTTTGAGCAGTGGTTGATTTGCATGTCTAAGCTTCGTTTCTCAGCAGGTGTGGATAGTGTGTTTTGTCCATAATTGTTACAGATTTTTGAGAATGCTTTTTTTTTTTAACAAAAATGTAGGGACACATGATGAAATCATGCATTTGTGTTTGTCTTTCCCCTGTAGCACAAGGGAGAAAATTGCCATTTCTGAAATGGTGAGTCCATTTGTTTAAAAAAAAAAAAACCACCAACCAACAACCATCTAAGGTATAAAAATACAAGATGTCCGCTATCCTCATCACTAAAAAAGAAGTAGTCTTCCATCAAAGAGGAGGAATAAAATAGCAAGTTCTTATAACAAGATAGCATTTCTCCCAGGGTCTTCATGCGATCATCCTGATGAGTCAAAAACACTGATGTCCAAACATGCTGGTGACAAAATTTCTGACACATAAAATAAAAATAATTAACTCCCCTTACTTCTGGTGGGACAAAAGAGAGGACAATGAAGTGGGAATTTCCCAGTAAACTCGGAAGGCGAGTCTGTAGTTGCACCTCGTCTGTAGGTGTGAATTGTACATGCTCTAAATAGATGTGTTGTGATAGGCATAGTTGGTACAGGAACTGATGTTACCTTGAAAAGACCCAACGCGTTGGGCTGCTGAGAATCCAAGAGTGTTTGGACTGCAAGAATGGTGACAGATCTCAGTTTAAAGTAAAGGTCATCAGCCTTCTCCCAGGTTCAGATATCCTCCCAGCTGTGTTTCTGCAAAAATATGTCCTGATCTAACTAGGAAGTTTAAAATGAGTAGAGAATTATGGGAATTGTCCTTCGCTTCCCTTCTTTTTAATGGTTGTGGGAAAGTGCTGTTGTAGGGAATGTCTTTTGCACCCAATTAATTTACAACTGAGCGAACAGCATCAAAATGAAACTGAGGGTTCTGCTAGCACTGCTGAGAAATGCTGATTGCTGTCTATAATTTCATTTTTCATTCCCAAAGAAGAAACTAATTGCAAGAAAAGGAAGGGAGTGGAGGAAATTCACAGGTCAGGAGATAATATATAGAGATAGTATGTCTGACCCCTGTAAGAGAAAAAACATTCTGTTATTTAGACTTGACATAGGCACCAAACTATCAAAACGCTGGCAGGCTTAGATGTACCATGGGCAGAAACCTTTGTTGTGGAAAACTTGGAGGGGGATTCAAAGGATCTAAAATTTGGGCTTTGGGGCCCACAAGAATATTTAAATACTTAAACTCACCTTGTGGATCCAGCTTGTTAAAGGTTTGAATACTTTTGAGTATAGTCAGTTTCATTTTTATCTTTCATTGCAACTGGGAGGTTGTTTTGAGAACCAAGGGTTGGTAACTGGTTATGCTGGGCAGAACAAAAAGATGCATCTTCATTTTTTTTCATTTTCTGCCCCTCTTCCTCTGTTTCACAGTTTGTTAGCAATGCTCTTTACCAATTTGCAGGTGTTCAGAGGGGCAATGAATTTTCCCAGAAAAAAAGTTGATGATACTTACAAATAATTATATGTATGTTAATGTGCATTTATGCTTTACTACGTTACTTTGTAGCGTTTGGATTACTTTATGTGACTAGAAGTTTAAAAGTTGCAAGATAGCAAGCATTACTGCATCACATGCTATTTCTTGAAAAGAGATAAGATTGCTATCTTAAGTTTGCAAGAAAGTACATGAGATTTTAAAGCAGGCGAAAGTATTCCTGATCAATAGCGAAGGTCGGCAGTGGAGAATGGAGCCCTCATTTTGGATTTCAGTTCTTTTACTTTGAGATGCAGAGCTCAGAGCTAGAGTCACTGAAATTTTAATTTTTCTCAGGAACTCAAGTGCTGTACTACCCATACAAATTAATGATCTCATTTGTCTCTCCCACCATAAAGCAGAAATAATAGTATTTTTTCACTCCTTACTAATGTTGTGTGGCTAATTAACACAGTTTGTGTACTTTCTGAGGAGGAATGTAATACCATTCTGTAAACAAAAATGAAACTTCTTAGGCCATCCCTTATTGTGTCTATTCTGTTGTGTTTATCTTTGATAGTATTAATATGAAAATCTTTTACTTCCAAATCTGTGTGGAAAGACTTAATGTTAAAATGAGTATCATAGGTATCACCAAGGCTGGGTGTTGATTTGGAATATTGGCTACTCTCAGTTAACAAATGAAGTACGCTCAACAAAACCAGAATCAAAAGTAGTGATGAGTACAGAAGATATTAAAAGTAAGTCACAAACAGAAGTTGATATTGATTTGACTATTTGTAATTGCTTTAGGATAAATGAAGAGAAAATGGGAAGAAAGACTGAAGAAAGTGGAAGAACTAGCGTCTCACTATGAAAGAAACCCTCTTCCTCCAGTTTATAGACCAAAACTGTCCAAACCCTTTCTGCCATCCTCTGTTTGGAAAATATTTTGTCGTCAGGCTGAAGCTTTCAATTATGTAAAAACGTGCAAAGAGGTAAATTATTTGTTAGGTGAATGTCTCTACTCTTTAGGTACTTTCAAGGTTGAACTTAACTTAACTTAAAAGCTTAGTTAACAGTAAAGTTTATGAGATTGCAAGATGGTTTTTTTCTTTCACTTTTTTTCTCCTCCACAATCCTGAAACAGCAAGGTTTTTTTTTTTTGCCTTTATAGGAGATCATGCTACACTGGAGGTAGCTCTAAGAAGTACTAGTTTTAACATACGAATTGGTATGTGGTGTTAACATCTAACAGTAAAAGTGCTTTTCGTAACATTGTAGTGATAGATTTGCTCCTTTTGAAGATAAGGAAACTGTCAAGGTTGGCAGGAGAATGGGAAGGTAGTGAGAGTTGAGTAGGAAGAAAGGAGAAAAAAGCTGAGGAAGAAAGAGAGATAAACAGGAGGCAGAGTCAAAATGAAAACAATGCAACTCACCAATGGCATCAGAGTAGCAAGTTCAGATGATAAGAAGTGATGAGCCAAATAAATGTTATGGAAAATGTATTCTCTCTTTTCAGTTCTTTGCATTTAATGCTTTTCAAATTGATTGCTACTTTTAAAGAAAGTAGCAGGGTTTCTTCCCACTGTTCTAGGTATTTAAGCAGTCCTGACAGTCTGTTTTCCAAAGTGCACTCTCAGTGGCTTGGTAGTGGGTTTCTTTCTTTGTTTTCTTTTCAGATTTCCATTTTTGGATTTAAATAATACAGAATGTAAAGAATATTTGCTATAAAGCTATATGCTGCCATCATATTCATAAGACTCTTCCTTTCAGAACATTGTTCCTCCTCCTGTTAGATGCACTTGCCAATGATCAGAAGAAAGAAGACTTTACAGAGAAAACAGAGTTTACATTAATGCACAGCAAAGAAAAGCTTCAAATTTTCACTCGTAACTGAAATCAGAACAATGTTCTTAATTAAAAATAGATGCTACTTGGGTTGAAAAAGGATAAGTGATCTACTTACAGTTTGCTAATATCTACTGACCTTTGACCAGAGAAATTAATGTCAAATAGGAACTTCTGAAGACTTTAACTGGTTCTTTGAATAAAAAAACTTCAATGTTTTTATTTTAAAAGGATGTTCATGTATTTGCCTTAGAAAAGAATATACAAAGTGGAAAGAGGTTTTACCTTGTGACAACATATAAAGAGCTTTGGTTTTATTACACGTGAGTATTTGAAAAGGTACCCTATATGTTACTATAAGATAATAGTATACTGGATGTACTGTTATCTAGTAATAGCTGTTACTGCATAGCTATCCCCAGTAGCCATCTGCTGCTCTGACTAGCACAGAGCTGTAATGGGTGGCCTGACATTTGATCTTGGCCATGGGGAAAATCTTCATAAGGACAAACCAATCTCTTCTATAGTGGGTTTCAACTTTCTTTTGAGTTGCAGACTGCCATTATTTCCTGTGAATTAAGGACCCCATCTACTGAACTTAAATCTAATAGCACTAGATTTGCTTTCGCTGACAGCTTTCCTCAGGGGATCATACCAATACAAACATACTTCTATGATTAGTCATGTATCAATTTAAATGGGCGTTAATATAAATGTCCAGTTACCGATTTATGGTTTTGTATGTGCATGATGTAGTTTCAAGTATCGACAATTTGATCATGCACTGAACTTTTTTTCCCAACGTTTTGTTTTACAATAAATCCAAGAGTCAATTTTTATATGGAAAGTAAACTTCATTTTTTTCTCAATTTGAAAATGAGATTAATTTTTAATTTAGTAGGAGAAAAGTCTATGTAATCTCATTTTTAGCACTTAAGACATAGGAGTGATAATTTAATAAGTTTTCTACTGTAGTTTCCATCATTCCTTAAATTCTCATCAGCATTTCTGTTGACGGTATTTATTGTAAGACTTGGGGGGGATGGGGAGGAGAATACTTTACAAACTTAAATTCTAGGCCAGACAAATATCTTTGTTGATAATTGATGCTGAAGTTAGTTACAAATTTTTCAAAGCGTTATAGGGCTGCTACTTTTTTTAATATGGGTGGTTGACTGAAAAATAAAAGAATATTTAGAACTTGTGGGATCCTTGTTGGCAACTGATAAGTATGTATAATGTTTATCACGAGAGGTTGTGATTTTTGTTTTTCCTTAGGAAAGGTTATAAAACAAGTCTTATGCATTGCTATGAAGTAATTCCTGAAAAAGATGCTTGCAAACTTTATTTTGATTTGGAGTTCTACAAACCAGCAAATCCTGGTGCAGATGGCAAGAGTATGGTTGCGAAGTTAATTGAGGTAAGCTGAAGCAAAGTGATGTTGTAGATTAATGTGAATTTGTTGTTGATTTAATATGAAACCAATGTATTTACCACTTTATCTTGATTATTCTGTAGTAAAATGAAAAAGAATTGTAGACCTAGGGGTTATTTTTAAGGAAGTAAAAAGTACTGTTTTAAAGCAAAGGTTCTCTCCTTTAAGTGAAAGGAAAAAATAGAGAACAACTGTTGCTGAAATGTTTGTATTCACTGTAGGTCTACTGGTATGATAAGTTTGCTTTTGCAGATTGTTTTATGTGCTCTGTCACTTCTAAGCTGTAAAACTGAAGGAATGTTTAGGTATTCTTCAGAGTAGCATCAATAAAAGTTCCATTCAGATATTCCTCAGTTCATTTCCTTTGCCAGCTGGTGCAGTCATATATCAAGGCTTAGATAAATCTTTCCTGATTTTAGCGATCTTCAGATGGCAGTTCATTATAGTTGAGTTAAATGATGATGTAGAGAACATCAGGTGACTGCACTTACCAGTTTGGTAGCTAAAGTTAAATATCTTTGCTAATTATCAATTCTATTAAATAGGGCAAATTTCCATTCTATTGCAAACTTGGTTGGAAAATGAGCTCCACTGCAAATTCAATATGACAGAGGTGGAAAATAAAGCAGGTTTTTAGAAGAATATCTTCTGTTCCAATAAAATCTCTTTGTGAGCGGCCGTTTGTGAGACTCCTGATGTTTACATGTCCCTAGCTAGAAAGGAAAGAAAGAAAAAGATGATTGAAGTCATTCCTTCATAAAGAACCCTTCATTGATACAGAATCTGGAGGGGTTTACTCCATTGTGGATCAATTCTGAAATCTAGAGATTCCTCAGGTTAAGAAGAGAACTTTGGATTTGCTGGGTGGGGGATATGGGATGCTAAAATCCTAAGCTCCCAGACCCTTAGGTTCTGAGTCCCAGCCTTAAACATGAGTAATCATAAGTTTAGCTTATAGAAGGTTTTTAGATCTATTTTAGAGCCAGACATCTTATGTTTTCTGCTTAGTTAGTTAGTACCAATGAATTATAAATCATAACAGTGAATTAGCATACCAACACCTTATATCCTGATACCTGTCTTCCATTCTAGGTAAGCCTGCATTACAAACATTGTCACTGTGGGTGTGAACTGCTTTGTGGTGGAAAAAAACAGAAGATAAAGCCACTAAATTAGACTTTGACCTGAAAAACTGAAAATCTGCTCAGCTTATCACTGAGTGATTCAGTGACTTGCTTATTTCAGGAAATACAGTCTATGTCAAATTTGGTTAAAATTTGCTATGTTATGATTTAGTTTGAAATAAATTGTATGCTCAAAATGGGAAAAAAAACCTTGAAAAAAAGATGTAGAATCTGCATTTGTGTTAGGTTTTATAGATACCACTATTAAAAATGCTAGAGAAAATAGCCTAATGAATGTTTGTAATTTCAGCTTGTCAGCCAAAAATTAAAAGAACTTTATGATGTAAATTGTTCAGCCAAAGATGTCTTGAATCTAGATTCCAGTACTGATGAAAAATTTAGTCGACACTTGATATTTCTACCCCAAAAGACTGTATTTAAGGATAATACTCATGTTGGTGAGTGAGTTCTTTTCTCTTATACCTAGAAATAAAAGCTGAAGTTTTGACTTTGTACAGTGCCATCTCACATTTGAATATTTATTTTAATGGAATTATATGTGGAAGCAAATACGTATTCCCTGCAGATATGACTACCTATTTCTATTTCATTAAGCTTCATTATTTCTCAACTCATCTTCTACTTCCTTTTTCTATAACTAGCATTTATGTTTGAAAAAATGTAACTTTTTTGGTGCCTATGTGTTTTATTTACAAAACTACTGGCAAGACTGGCTTTTGTCTTGAAAATCATTTTACAGTGTGACTATGACTCCTTAATTTTCAGGTTAACGTCAGTCTTAACAATTAAAGCTACAATTATTGGCTCTAAATACGGTTGGTTTGTGCTCAGCACAGGGTCGGAAAGGCAGGACAAAGATGCTTTCAAGCCACCTGTGCATAAAAATGATTAAGAGAAAGCCAAAAGCAATTATAATTGTTGATGTAAGCTGGGATTTCACGGGATATGGCAACTCCAAAACAAAGAATTGTCAGTTCAGGGTTGTCTTGACTCCATTTTTAAAAGAAGTATAATAATACCTCCTCACGTCACAGAAGTATTTTGAACATACTTTTAAAATACTGTTTGTGAAGCATTGAGGGGCTAGTGGTGAGCATTAAGAAAAGTTAATGTTGAAATTCATAATTTCTTCTTCTTGTATATATATTCTATATGGTGTGCAGTAAAGCAGGCTTATAGACATACATTGAACAATGAGGGCACAACAGGGTATCAGCTGAGTTTTGTCTGAGTGAAGCAGGAACTGATGGAAAACAGCTTGCCCAGTGGTGGAATTAAAATCTGTATCAGTCTACAAATGCAGAAGTTTGGGTTATTTGACATTGCACCTGCAGCCTTGGTTTTGTCATTTCTTAATATCTGAGTGTTTGATTTTGTAACCTTTGTTCCTTATTGTGTTTGTTCAAACAAACAAATAGGGTGAGGGAGAGGAAGCAGAAATGCTGTTATATAGTACCATATTAATAATCTCATGGGTTATTAGAAGGGGTGAAATTTAGATTTGTGACATTTAGCTCTACTGTTTGTGTTCAGGAGGAACTGTGACAACAGCAGCAGGATTACATGTATCAGAGAGAAAGAAATTGTGTGCTTTGTTACTGGATTTCCACTGGCAGTAGAATAGGAAGAGTTGAGGATATTGGGTTCATAATTTTGGTCCCACTCAGGTTCCCGCTATTATTCTGCTGTCTGCTTGGTCACAATCTGTCTGACTGTCTTCATGCCCAATCTTTCTTTTCCTTTCTCACCCTTACCTCTTTTTCTAGCTCTGCACCTTCCCTCATTCCACTGTTGAGTAAAGCTTACACTGGATTTCTTCTTTTTTTATACCTCCTGTGTTTTTAAGTAGCTTCTTACTGTGCACTGTGTATGTCCTAGCACGGGATTGTAGAGAGCACAGGGAAGATGGGCTCTTTGCTTTTAGTACTTAATGCACAGTGACACTGTCATTAATGACACAGTGCTGGGCTACTTTCTAGCCCAGTACAGCATTAGAGAAAATCTTGTTTTCCTTTTGAATTGTCTAGTTATTTCATGGGGAGAACACATGTACTGTTGGATTAAAGTTGTGTAGGATTGACACATGTTTTGTGTTGCTCTGAGGAATTGTCTATGAAAGGTCTCATCAGCATGAACAGCTGGAGGAGTAGAGCAAACTGTAAGGAGAGGCTGGATCTTGTAGGCCTGCATGCATGTACAAATTTTTTTTCCCCAAGTAGTTTTAATATATGCATGTGGCCCATGGCCTAAGCATCACTTCAGGCTGAAATTCAGATCCTTACTCCAACACAGAGGCCATAGGATTTCTCAGAACCATTTTTTTTCAGCTTTTTTTGACATTAAAAAACATATTTCTCATTCTTAGGAGCAGTGGAATCTGTGTCCCTAAACCTTTTGAGGAGTAGCTCACATGGCAAGCTAAGCAGATTGTCAAAGTTATAAGCAAATACTTATAATATTGGCTGCCAGCCCTAAGCATGACACAGAGCAGTTATTTCTTAAGTGACACTGTGGTAACAGCTGCAAACCCCAAAGACTTAAATGGGATTACTGCAATTTTTAGTTCAAAAGTACGGTCTTTAACTCCTCTGCCACTATAAAACATGGATGATAAATAATTTGGTATGACAGCAATTTTAGCTTGTGGTCTTGATAAGTAAATTACATTAGTCAGTTCTTTCAGTAGAAGCTTGAACTGTTTATTCTAGTCCGTTAGTTAAGTGGATCTCCACTGTGATGTGAATTTGACATGTTTACTGTCAGACTTAAAATATATTTAGAGATTGTGTAATCGTGTGCTGCCTTTGCCTTTTCAACAAGATGTTGAAGCTGCAGTAAAAACTGTTTTTTTTTAATAATTGAGATATGTAAATGTCAGCGTTAAATTTGTGCATGTTACCAATAATATACTCTAGACTTTTCATTAATGCACTATTACATCTTGGACGATATTGTTTCATAAGCATTTTATGTCAGGAGTCATGCACAAAGTGCATGGGCTTAAAATTAAATATGATTAAAAACTTTAGTATATAATATTTGGAATTGGTTACTAGTTAGAATTAAAATACAGGGACTGAGTTCATAGCTCATGTAAGAAAGCACAGGAGATAATGTAGGTCTACAGGAAAGCTGTGGAGACCAATGAATTTACATTGATCTACACAGTTGACAAATCCCAAATATAAAAATACAAAATACAGTCAAGGATCAAAAGTGTGAAATGCAGAGTTTGGTTCCCACATCTGACCAGTTAGAAGAAATGGGAAGAGAGAAAACAAAGATGTGTGTGAATGATAAAGAACTAACTCCCAAAATAGTCTTTCACTGACAGAACCCTTGCTGTTCTGACACCAGAGTGATTGTTACTTAATTACACACACAAAAAAAGGAAGTGGTCAACCAGGACTTTTAAAGATGCTTTAACTTTTATGGTACTTGAAATAAACTTCAGTTCTGAGATAGGTACGTTTTCTCCCTGAACTGAAGATCTGACTAACTGTTGTTATAAACCTAAGAAATTCTGTGTGCATATTTGAGCACACAGGGTTAAAATGCTGTCTATGACTATGAATCATCTGTATGCCTCAGTAGTCCTGTGATGGATTATGACGATGGTGATACTGACGCTTGATACACTGAGTCATTCTGCTGATATGTGGCATAGGAGACTGATACTTCATGTTCTTTCAGGTTCCCCACTGAAGCTTCATCCAACAACTGCAGAATCCTCCTTGCCAGTATTCCTTCCACCTCATAGTTTTTCTTCCATGTCTGTATTTATTCTGTTCTCTTCTGCAAGTGATTTGGCCATGGGTTTTTTTTGTCCGTCTTTGGTTACCATCCAGCAGAGCCTGGAGGTACAATGGGAGTTGAATTACAATACTGGGAGTTTGAAAAGTCATTACACAATACTTCTGTAAAAGTAGTTTGTTGTTCAAGTAAGCCCTGGTCAAACTCTTATATCAGTTAATACACCATGAAGCTGCAAGTAAACATTTTTAATCATTCTGAACGTGAAATTAGGAAAAGCAGTAGTGAGAGGGACAATCACAAGCTCTTCAGAATCCTAAATCTGAGCTTGTTAATGTCATCGCGTGCTGTCATTAACTACTGCAAAAATATTCAGCTAAATGATTAAAAAGTACCTATGGTTGGATAAAAAAATAAGTTGTGTAATAGCAAAGCTATATGAATGCTTTATTCATGTATTGAAGAGTTTCACTAAGTGGTACTTGAAATATTAAATCAAACTACATTTTATAAAGGACCTTGACTATTTTTTTTTTATATCACTGTCATTAACAAAGTGGTCCTACGTTAAGCATTTGAATAAGTCGTACTATTAACAGCCTAGTTCATACGCAGAAATGTTCCTGCGAAGCTAGCATGAAGACCCAAACTGAACTTGTTCAGTAAGCTTCTGACATTCTAGTGGAAAAATTCAGGTTCACAGAAATTTCAGTGCAAAAGTCTTCCTCGTATTAATCATTAAGTCAAGATCCTTTGTGCTCCAGGCGTGGGAGCAGCTTGAGATCTTGTCTGTCAGAGGCTTTAATAACTGCAGTGGTACAGGTGATGTGATGGCTAGAAGAAATTATTTTGAAAGATACAAAAGACATTTATTTCAATTTTGCACTTTTATCTGGGACTTTGAATTTAGTTTGGGAAATTGGAGTGACAGTCTATACATTTCTGTTTCGTTATGTTGTCTTTATTTCTAATGAGGTGATTGCCAAGCCAACTCGCTTCTCAGTTCCCTCTGTTCTCAGGAGTAAAATTGCAAAGGGAGAGATTGTGGCTGTGTGATACAATTAATATACGCACAACTGTTTATTTTCTTGTGTCTTAAAGAAAAAAAACTTTAGTAAAACTTCTTGGCAAGCATGGGTTTCTTAGTTACTAACCAGAACCATTTTGTGCACTGGGCTGCTCCAAAAGATTTTTTTTTTTAAATCCAGAAGGGGACTCCCCCCCCCAAACTCCAACCACTTTCATCTTGGCTGTTTTGAAAAATGTTTGCACAGGAACTGTTAAGTTCTTTCTTGACTAATAAATGACATTATCTGCTTTTGGGTTTTTTTTGTTTGTTTGTTTTTAAGGTAACTTTGTGAGAACCATTTTGCAGCCTGCTGTAAGGTTAAGGGAGAGTAAAGCTGCTGTCGTGATTCCAGAAGAAGGAGCAGGACATATTTTCCAGTGTTCTGCAGAAGCAGTTGGATTAGATGGTTCTCTTACAAACCTCACAGCTGTCGAAGATGCTTCCAAAGGCTGGCCAGCTGTTGCTCGCGAAACAAAAGATACGGAAACATCACACCAGGGCGAAAATTTGGAATTTTCCTTTCTATTGGTAAATGATAAAGAAGGAGACAAGCAACTTTTTGTGGATCTAGGTAAATATAAGAAGTTACTTTAAACCTTTTTGGGATGCAACAAAGGTTAAGAAATGAGATGTTCCTTAATCTTTGATTACATACAATAAGAACAACAGTGTTCTTATTGTTGTCCCTACGGTCAGAATTTAAACCAAATACAATATGTGCTGAAACTGTGATCATAAATGCTGTACTTTGAAGGCACCTCAGATTCTTGGTCCATGGAACTTCTTACATTACATTTAATTATTTTGTTCTGAAGTTTGAAGAAACTCTTGCCGCACAAGACTCTCTAATTAATTTTTTTCCTAAGAACTTAGTGCTCCTATTTGGATTAAAAGAGGGTAGTATATACTGCATTTTTGTCATTTCAGTTGAATTGGAAGTTGCTTAATGATGGACCAAGTCGTACAGGTGTGGCCTTCTGTATTGTTCTACATGTATGAATTGAGCCTTCTTCCCCTGTTTGGAATGGCGGTTGTTAGGTTTTAATGACAGAATAACAGAAATTTTGGGTTGGGCACTTCATGCCCCAGTTGCGTGTAGCCTATTCATGGTATTAAAATGTTAAAAATCTCCAGGAGCACAACGCCCATGGTCAAACTAAAGTTTGAAAGTTCCACCCTTCTCCATCCCCAGATCTGCTTTTTGCCCTCTGTCAGTGAAATGGGAATCGCTTAGCACGCTTTTGTACAGCAATGTTTTATGTACTTGAGGACTGTTTATCATGTTTTTCCTCAGACTTCTCTGAAGAACCCCCACTTCTCCATATTCTCATGGAATTCAGGATCACTTTTGTTGCTGGCCTCTTCAGTGTGTCTGACTTGTTGAAACATAAATCCCAAAGTTGGGCCTGTATTAGGCTTCTCCATTACTGATTCAGAAGGATTACTTTGCACCTACTGTTCAAAATTCCTTCAAGCATATTTGTGAATGGAAATCAAAGAAAAACAAATTGTGTTGCTTCACCTTTTAAGAATTTGATGTTAGTCCCCCAAAATTAACCGTCCTCAATATTTATGTTACACACATTACCTCAAAACTGGAAGGCTAAAATCAAAATAGCTGGAATACTGAGTTACATCACGAGGCTGCAGTGATAGAAAGGGACTTGTCATTCTTGTTGTATGGGATCTTTTTATTTCTTTATCTTCATGAAAACTAAATGTAACCCACAAATAATGCACCCACTCCTCAATACATTCTTAGACAGATTAGGCAATGTTTATAATACCTGTTCTTTTTTTTGTTGTTTGTTTTTGAGATTGGAATTAAATTTTCCTGATACATACTTCACAGTGTGCTACACCCAAGTGGTGTCTGGTACACAAAACCCAGGAAGTTTGATGAATATGAAGTACGTGCTGGTTAAAGTAATTGTGTGGCTTTTTATGCTCAGCTGTATTTCACAAAGTTAATGTGAAAGCACCATTTTTTTATACTGAAAGAAGCTTTTAGCAATTATAATGTCAAAAGGCTTAAAATGCCTATGTAAAGGTGTTGGGTGTTTGTCGTCTTCTAGAACATAAAAATGTACATGTGTGCCTCACCTCGCTTTGTGGCATTTTTTCTATGGGAGGTGAGCTGAAGTCAGTAATAGGTTTTGTCCATTCCTTAGAGCCTTAGCTGGGTCTAAGGAAAATTGTTTAATTTGCAAGTACTAAGTATCTTAAATCCTAGCCATCATTGTTATGTTAAGAAATACTTGTTTTCCTGTAGGAGTTTATACAAGGAATAGAAATTTCCGGATGTATAAATCATCAAAAGCAGGAAAAAATGTGATTCTGAAGATAGCAGAGGATAATAAGTTTGTCCCTAACTGTGAAGAGAATGTTTCCTTGGAAGAAGCATATTTTCTTTCCTCTTTGATCTGCAACATTAGGTAATTGTTTAATTCAGGTGGAATTTAAAATATTTTTAAATACGTATTTTGGTGATTTTTCTCCTTCAGCAGTTATGAATAACTACTATCAATGGGCAGTTATTCCATGAACATTGTTACAGTGTAATTTAGGAGTTTCCAGTAGAATTCCTTGTTTTTGAAGAAAAACTTTCTTGGGACACCTTTTTTTTTTCTTTTTTTTTCCTTTTTAAACCTACCTTCAAATGTTTAAAGAACAGAGGACATGTGGTACAGTTGTGCCTCATTTCTCTGTACACACTCAAAATGCTGAAATTTAACCATTATTAAGTTTGGTCAGATTCTGTATAGTTCTGAAAGGAAAAATTACAGATTCCCAGTCAATTAAATATGAAGTGTCTAAATATTTTCTGAAGTATGATAAAAATATAAAAAGGATTTTTGTACATGTTCACTTGCATACCAGATTTCCCATTTGGCACAGATACCTCCTTAGGCTAGATACTGGTTCATGCAATAATCAAGTTTTCCGTATCTAATCTAAACCTCTGATATATCATGCCCTGCACTGATTGTATTTTAAGATAGTCCTAATCATTACTGCAGCAGAAAGAAGGTTAAAATGGTACATCCATCTGCATGATATTATGTGTAATATTTTTATTACAAACATATATTTGTTGTGACTTCAGTTTTTATATCCTGAAATGCTCATTGTCTTGAACTGATGCCACTAGCCCTGTAGCATAAGCTGTGTAGTGTATTCAGATCACAGGAGTCAGCTGAGTCTGTCATATATATGGATGAGAAATTCTGCTGTGTTGACTTTAGTCTTCTGTGATCATCTGGCTTCCAGCTAGTAATATGGCAAGGAAAAGCAAAACAAAAAAAGGTTGAAATCTTTCAAAGGGTATATATGCATAAATATTACATCTAGAGCAAATACTACAGCGGACCAGACTGAGTGTGGACAAGCAGTCTTTAAATGGCTGGGTCCTGAGATTTTTGCCGGGAAACAAATTTTGCTGTTCTGAAGGAGGAAACCTTGCCCTCTGCTAGTGTAAGTCAGAGGAAACTGTCAAAATGAGAAGAAAAAGTGAAAGGGACAGTGAAAGGTAGCACACAGAATCACAGGATGGCTGAGGTTGGCAGGGACCTCTGGAAGTCATCTGGTCCAACCCCCCTGCGCCAGCAGGGCCACCTAGAGACAGTGGCCCTGGGCTATGTCATGTTATGCCACACTATGTTATGTTACAGAATGTTACAGTATGTATTCTTAAAACATACGATGTTATGCTGTAAGAATCACACATTTTCCTTTGTATTCTCTCTTTTCTTCAGGGCGAAGGATGACACAAAAGTTCTGTCATCTGGCTTTTCAGAGGAGGAGAGAGAAATGTCTGCTTTTTTAAACAGTAAAACTACCAGAAGCAGTAGAGGTACCTGAAGTCTTTTCTACTGTACAGAGGAAAAAAGTACTCTTAAATTAGATGTATTGTGATTTACACACCCAATAAACCTCTAGGAGAGCTTTTCTTCAGCTAGCTTTCTGCAGGAGGCCGAGTACAGCTGTACTGAAGGATGCTCTGCAGCGCTTGAATGCCATTTACCCTCCTCTCCCGCTCCCACAGCCATCATGCTTTGTCCCAGTTCCCTCTGTACCTTGGGGGGGGG